TCTTGTGTTTGTTCTGTGAGGTGTTCGTTGTCCGAACATAAAAATCTTTCGCAAAAGTGTTCGTTATCTGATCACCCACTGTACTTTAAGTGAAGAATAAAATGTTATTTGCTCAACACTTAATTTATGGAATTCTTATCAATTTTCAAACTGTTTTCTAAAAATTACTTAAATCAGAACCACATCCACCAACCTAGCCAACTGCAAGTTTCTTAGATTTTATAGAAATGATGTTATTGGAAGATCTTCACAGGCTAACACCACTCTCTTTTTAAACCAAGTTTTCTGAAGTTAGTTAGCTACACAGAATTAGATAATTTAGAAGTAATTCCTCCCACTCTTGACATCATTCCTCTGTACAGCTGACTAGGTTAGTGGTCATAGTTCAGGTATAGAATTATCTGGCAGGGTTCAATTCTACTTCACTAACAGCTAAAAGCGACTTTTTATTGTACCCATTTCTCTTTTCTGTATATCTTCCTCTACAAGTGGGTGAATAGTCGTTTAATCTGTTTTGACAACTGCTAAGTTGAAAAGAATGTACTTTATACAATTCATTTCTGGAATTAAAAGAACAGTAGTTAAAAAATGGATCAACAACAACAAAAATAAAAGAAAAATACTGAAGAAGAAAGAAGAGTTTTTAATGAATACTGGACAGATTGATATTTTCTGTTGAAGATTACTGTACATCTGTCAACTAGTATGAAGCAATAAAGCATTACAATTATGTTAGTTGACATATGAACAGATTGATGATTTTTTTTGATGAAATGGGAAACCAATTACTTGATTTCTCAATTTACCAGGAAACCATCCTCTTATAACATATTTAAAAATCTAATTATTTGAAGCAAACTTGATGTTTATACTAGCCATAAAGTTGCTGAATTAATGACTGAAAGAGGGTTGTGTTTTACAGATGCTATTATAGAAAACATGTATACTTTCATTAGTGAGGAAGTGAAGTCATGATAAAGTAAAGTTGTTTTCAGATATCAGCCTTGTAGTTCACATGGTCACAAAACTAACAGAAAAACTGGCAGTAAATTCAATTCATTAGAACTTGACCGAAAGAAAGCAGAACAGTATGACTACTGATAAAGAAAGGAATTTATATGGTCATAAGACTGGTGTTTGTGGAACAACAAATGATATGGTAATAAAGGAAGATGTACTCTTCCAGTGATGTTTCATCTTATCATTCATCATCAAGCATAATATTGTAAAGTGTCGTAATTCCTTTTCATTAAGGATATGGTAGTTTCCATCAGGCTATGGAATTGGAATTAAAAACAAAATCACTGTTAGAGAAGTTGAAGTTGGTGGAAAACATCAATCAATTCATTGATTCTTTTTATTGATGGAGACACCCTACATGTGTTTCTTTATTGTTTTCTATCTCACATGAACATATAAAGTTAATTTTTATACATTGTTATTTTTTATAAGATTGTCTTACTTACAACTATTGCATTGTAAAGTACATTGTACACTCCTAGTTCTTCAACTATTCTTTATTTAATTTTTAAATTATTTACAGTTATTCAATTAATATATACATATAAATAATATTTCTTATATAAGGAATTATATATAAATTGCAACAGAATAAAACAGAAATGAAAAATGCTGGAAATGCACCCTAGAAGGCAATAAGGGACAGAATCATATTATCTTTTAACAACAATTACTATACTTCAGTTTTAAAACATCCTGAGATTTTCAAAATAATGCATTAGACAAAACTACAAATTTGAGAAACAAATTGCAATACAGTAGAGCGTTGATTATCCGAAAGAAGTCCAGTCGACAAATTTAAATTTTCGCCAGTGCTGTGGCACTGCAATCTTTGGCTATGTCTTGGGCTACTCAAATATTTTACGTTTTTGATACTAAATTAACTTCTGAAGTATAATTTTTTATTGTTTTTATATTTTTCAATATATTTATTTTGTTCGTATAAAATAAAAAAATAATTTTTAACGATACAATAGTCTTCGTTAGGCTTAACATCGACGAAAATTCAATGCGAAGCAACACGCAACAGAGAAAGATATCAAGATGGGATAAATTAATATATTTTTTCGTACATAATCAGTTATCCGAAACTTCGATCTTCCGAACAACCCCAGTCCTCAATTGATTCGGATAATCAACGCTCTAGTGTACATCTATTAACTAAGTATCAATAAAAATAATGTTTTAAAATAGTTTCTCTTTCAAAATACCTCTTAATTACATTCTCACCCTCAGTTTGAAAGCAGGTGTTAACAAACTAGGCTACAAATGAAAACAAAATGCAAATGATGATAAATAATTGTAATTTAAATAGTATCCTTGATCATTTTTCAGTTTTGAATTTAATGACAATTCTGACTGTTATGATAAAAATATATTTTTGACAGTTTTCTTTCAGTTTGTTAATATTTTAATAAATTCAGGAAATTTGTTAAGGGATAAATTTGATAAATTTATACTTTTATGACAGATAACAGAATTTATGAATGAATACTAAGTGAAAATATTTTCTCCCCACTTTAAAATCAGTTTTATAGTTAAAAAAACCAATAATGTTTACATAATAAAATGTCTTATTTTATACTTTAAAACAAAGTTCAGCAATTCTAAAAATATTTTTCTTAATTATTAATTTTAAGAAGTTCGGTTTGTGAAATTGATCTGTTAAAGATTAAAAATAATAAATCATTCTTTTTAATAATTAATTAAAAACACCTAAATGCATTAGTAAATATTTATTGTAATTATATAATTTTAAAATAATTTTGTTTGATGACTTTTCAGGGAGATACAATATTTAAAATATTCTCTCTCTCCCTGACATTCAACACTATATAAAATCATTATAAACTGGACATAGAAGAGTGAAGTACAAATAAAAATTATTGATTTACAAGCAAATAATGTCCTGAAAACTACAATTAATGAAACTTGTGTCAACTGGATGATTTATTGATATTTTTCACTGCCTGAAAATTTTGCTAAATTAAAGAATTTTAATACTAACATGCTTACATGCTTCAGCAGAAACTATTTATGCAAACAAATATTTTCAAAAATGATCATCACAAAAAATTCATTTTTTCAATCAAAACTTTCTAATCACCATCTTTACCAGCAGCCAAAATTGCAATGTCTAGCTTCAGTGCAAATTTTTACTGTCTTTCTTAGGAAATTCAGCAAAAAAAAAAAAATTGTTTACATTGCATTTACAGTCCTGCAATGATTGGTGCATTATGACAAAAAGGTTGTCAACCCTTGACACACAAGATTATTTTTAGCAATTTTTAAGTTTATTCATTCTTTGAGGTAATTTGTTAACAAGAAAGCTTTTTAGCTAATTGATATTGCTTTAAATTTTTCTTAAATAAATAAAATACAGGTATACCTCGCCTTACGTTGGTAATTGGTTCCAGGAGAACGACTTAAGTTGAAAAACGACATAAGTCGAATTTACTTGTCTTCAAATGTACTTGTCACTAGGCTAAACCATAAATTGCCAATTCCGGTTCTGTATTTTATTTATTAATGCATTTTTAATAATATATGGTTAATAAGGATCTATTTTAAGCTTACAAACAATAAATTTTAGTTTTTAATATAGTACAGAAAAAAGTAATCTAAATTTACGAATGCATGTACAGTACTGTAAATACAGTACATACTTGTAAATGTATATATTTTAATATGATTTTATATGCTTTAAGCATTTTTCTAGTGATATTACGATTTCAATATTTGAGGAGGATAGATGTAAAGTCGAATAAAATGACTTAAACTTGATTTTTATTTTTCCATATACTTTTTTGACAAACAACGTATAATCGGGAACGACGTAAGTCGAGATATACCTGTACTTATAAATATTTGAGAAAACATCTAGTCTAGTATAAATATCATTTAATTTTGTTTGTAAAAACTGTTTGGGTCTCTTCCAAATAACTTTTTTCAGAAACTAATTCATTATTTAATCACAGAAGTTTGCCTTTACATATTTGCTGATCAAATCAAAATCTGAAATTGCATATTTTTGGAAGTTGTATAAATTTAATTGTGTGCCAAAATACTTGATAGAAATATTAAAAATTTTTGTTTATATCTTAAGATTTCAGAGAGATTGTTTGTTTAGGTAAATAAATCACTGCTAATTTCAGGAAAAAGCTTTTTATTACTTAAAATAAATACTTTCAGTCAAAATCTAATCATCCTCGGCTTAAAATCTTAAGTTTATCACTTTAAAATAATGCAGAACAGAATAAATAAATTTAAAACAAATTCAAAATTAATATACTAAACAGTTTCAATTTTTGAATTTGAAATAAATGCAACTAGTGTTGCCACCTTTCCAAAATCGTTGACCTGGACGGGAGGTCAGGTTTGTTTGAACAGAAGTTCCTGACACATGCGCAATGTCATTTTACAATGTGAAGAATAACTGCATGCAAATCAGTTACAGTGTACAGATAATTTAACTCTATTTGAGACATGTACAATTGTACATAAAAAAAAAGGTCGACAGGTTGCTGTGCACCACACATCGGCGTAAACAGACTAACATGGCAGAATTGCAGATGAGTTTCAGTTAGTGTGAGTTCTTTCACTGTTAAAATAGTGTAAATTTGTAAAAATATTTGCAAGAACTTTGTTTCATCATAATTTCACAATTTCTATGAAATTCCCGGACAAAATTAATACTATACCCGGACAGCGAGTCAATTCCTGGACTGTCTGGATGAAAACCAAACAGGTAGTAACACTAAATGCAACAGAACATGTGAAATAAATAAATCCTGATACTGTTAGCAACTCCACAGACGTTATAACCAAGTTTGCAAAGATAACCCCATAGACAATGACATACTAACAGTTTGCAATTATGTTAACTTGTTTCCTTCTATCAATATTAAGGCAACATTATCTCTCTCACATAATGTAATATGTCAACACAAAAATGTTAGCTTGAGAACATATAGTCATACCTCTGACTACTTTTGGTTGTTTCCTACTTTCAAGAGACATCTCAAAGGAATTCATTTCACCCGTGATGAAATTATTCAAGCAGCCACAAGGAAATGGTTATGAGAACAACCTGAAGATTTCTACAGAGATGGGTTTGAAAAACTTGTTAAACATTGGCGTAGCTGTATCAAACATGAGGGAACTAGGTAAAGAAATTAAGTGTGTTAATTAAATTAGAAATACTAAACTTTGTTCTTGTTTTGGTTTCAGTTTGATATCTTACCATCATGCCTGTATATAAATATGGAAGCATTACTTATTGAATGCCTCTCATACTCATCATACATGCCAAAAATTAATCAATAAATATACTTTTAACATTTTAACATTAATATCTTATTAGTAAGTTTATTAATTGATTAATGAAGACTATTAAAATAGTGATCTCTATAACAGAAGGTTATTTAATTGTTAATTATAATTCTGATATTATTTACAATTCCAGTGCATTCTTTATATTATATAAAAGAAAGTAATTGTTTTAATAAACATTTTTATATATTTATTAGTTTCATTTTTTCACCATTTCTAAATATCCGAATTTCCTGAAGATTAAAAGCAACACAAATCAACCATAATTATTGAAATAAAAAATTATTTAACATACTGCAATTGCTGTCACCATTAATTGTTATTGAATAAATTAGGCTCAAGGATGAAAAACACTTAATGAGCAGGAAAAAAAATGACCAGAACAAGTCATGGTTTTACAGAAAAAGCAACAACAAGAAATTGTGTATCTTAACTGCTTATATAAGAGCACAACATGATCTAGCATTTGAAAAAATGCCATGATGCAACTTTTTACTGGGACTGTTAAAAGAATATGACAACAATACATTTTGGCATTATCAACATACTACAACATATCATAGTCATTTCCTGTTTACTCTGTAGTAGCAAATAAAGAATTCAGGCTACATGACAAATATGTATAATAAAGAACAATGCCAAGCTTAATTATTTTTGCAGCAACTGTTAGATCAACACTTAAAATTACAGTTAATATTGTTCAAATAAAATCTACACATTTTATTGATGCAGGGTCTCCTCACAATTACAGTATATGAAGCCCTGTTTACTTGCAGATGTTATAGCTGAAGCTGCTGAGTTAACAAACATGCAGATACATCTATGTTAATGAAGCTGTCAGCAGCTGTAACTCACTGAGAGTATAGTACCAATTAAGTAAGCCTTCCTTGGTGCTGATCAATTGATAGAGCCCAGACATGTTTGCTAATATGACATCATATCAACACTGACAAATGAGTGAGATGACTTTGAACTGGCTCTGCTTTTCTTCATCATTGTGGTTAAGATGGCAAATTGTTGTATGCTTGTGTTATCTCTGCAACAAAGCATTGTGGTATACTAATAATGCTGGAACATATTGTGGTATAATTTTTAACAGTCTGAACATGAATTTTACATCATTGGCATTTTTAAAATGCCAGAACATGTCATGACTCTTTATAGGCAGCTAAGATGCAAAATTTTCTGTTGTGACTGTTTCTGTAAAGCCACATTATGTTCTGAGTATTTTTTCCATTCATTGAACATTTTCACTAGAGCTTAACACATATAACTATTATCACTACTATATATTAAAGGTTTAAAAAGAATTTTCAATTTGATTAAATTTATATAAATACATAAATTAAACAGAATGTTGAAAATAAATAGACTGTTCAAAAACAACTGATTATACACTAGAAAATTACAAGGAACTCCAATAAATCATTAATATTAAAAATACCAAGAACAGAAAGGTTTTTAATTCATCCATCAAAAATATTTTTAAATGGATAATTCTAATTCTATTAATTAACAAGTAAATGTAATCTGCTATAGAAATGAAAAAGAAAAATACATTTTTATACAGTTTAATGTTCTTGCAATTTCAAGCAAGATAATGCCAGTGTTCTCCCTAATAAAAAATTTTGAATGGTCAATCTGCATGTCAGCTAACTGCTACTACAAATTTCCTTACAAATCTTGGCTGCTGACAGCAAAACAATACAGTGGACCTTCGTTATAGTGCTGCTCGCTATACCGTGCACTTGGTTATAGCGCGGGTGATGTTTGGACGCAATATGCTCAAACACGTTTATACAGGTCCGTGCAGCATTAGTGAGTAGCGCATTTTATTGTTATTGCGTATTGAGTAATTGTGTATGTATTGAGTTCCTGCATGTATTTTGAATAGTGTTTAATTATTGTATGCATGATCGGTAAAAGAAAAGCTTGACATTATTGCTAAAGTAAAGAGCGGAATTTCAAAAGCAAACATAAGAAGAGAATACAGCATACCTGAAGGAACTGTAAGAGGTTGTNAAATTATATATAATCTATTAATATAAAATTTAATAGTGTATAAAGCCCTTATAATTTTGAGAGCATATGAGCAATTAAATTTTTTTTAATAAAAACAAAAATGCACAACAATTATAATAATAATTACTAAGAAAAATACATTTTTATAAAAACAAAAACATCATGAATTTCAAGCAAGATAATGCCAGTGTTCTCCCTAATAAAAAATTTTGAATGGTCAATCTGCATGTCAGCTAACTGCTACTACAAATTTCCTTACAAATCTTGGCTGCTGACAGCAAAACAATACAGTGGACCTTCGTTATAGTGCTGCTCGCTATACCGTGCACTTGGTTATAGCGCGGGTGATGTTTGGACGCAATATGCTCAAACACGTTTATACAGGTCCGTGCAGCATTAGTGAGTAGCGCATTTTATTGTTATTGCGTATTGAGTAATTGTGTATGTATTGAGTTCCTGCATGTATTTTGAATAGTGTTTAATTATTGTATGCATGATCGGTAAAAGAAAAGCTTGACATTATTGCTAAAGTAAAGAGCGGAATTTCAAAAGCAAACATAAGAAGAGAATACAGCATACCTGAAGGAACTGTAAGAGGTTGTATGGCAGAAGAGACAAAACTGAAATCATTTGTTGATAAGCTTGACCAAGATGCTGGGCTTACTCAAAAAAAGACAAGACTTGGAAAAAATCAAAATGTTGATGATTGCCTCTATGCATGGTTTGTGCAAAAAAAGAAGTGAAGGTTTAAAGCTGTTCCCTATCTGGAACAGCTTTAAACTTGCAGGCTGAAAAATTCCATGTAAGCTTAAAAGCAGATGATGATTTTAAGGCTTCTGACGATTGGATGTGGCGTTGGCAAAAACAACATGGCATCTTCCAAATTTCCATTTCTGGTGAAGCGAAGTCCAGTGATATTGAAGGTGCTGCAGAATTTTCCAAACAGTTCACAATTTCCATTAAGAAAGAACAGTATACTGATCCACAAGTTTATAACTGTGATGAGACTGCATTATATTACAGAATGTTGCCAAATAAAGCCTTAGATCTAAAAAGTAACCCACAAAAGGCAGGATTAAAACTAAGCAAGGAAAGGATAACAGCTTTATTTTGTGTAAATAAAGCTGGTAATCACAAGTTGACGCCACTCATTATAGGTAAAAGTCAAAACCCATGATGTTTCAAGTCAATCAATATAAAATCTCTGCCAGTTGTTTATAAAAACAGCATAAATGCTTGGATGACTTCTAACATATTTCATGACTGATTTCACAATTCCTTGGTTCCCTCTGTGCAAAAATTTCTGAGAGAATTGAGTCTAGATTCAAAAGCTTTGCTTCTCTTAGATAATTGCCCAGCTCATCCACCAACTGATAACCTTGTGTCTGACGATGGTAAAAATAAAAGTAATGTATCTTCACCACCACCGTGCCACTTGATATAACACAGTCCACCTTATAACGCGGGTATTGTTTCCCGCCCAACATGTGCATTATATCGGAGGTCCACTGTACTTGTCTTTAACCCAATTAATGATAAAACATAAATAAATAAAATGAAAAAATATCATAGTTTTAACTGATTAACCAGTTAAAACCAGCTTTAAGAAAAAGTATGTTGTTATCTAAAGAAAATCAAAAAATTATTTCTGTTTTCCATGATATTGTTCCCTTATTAAAACTAAGCAGACTATGTATGATGCCAATTAATAAAAGAGTCTATAAATATCATATGTCAAATAGTCAAATTTTTATTCTAGCATATAAGTTCATTGTAAATATTGGGACTGTTATTGCTTCCAATTGTCTGATTTCACTCATTCATTAAGAACTTCCTGATTCTTGATCACACTCAGCTGTCACTACTTCAATATGAACAATCATACAGTCAAAATACATAAAATTATATACTTTGTCTGTGAAAACAGTAGTACCACAAAAATAATAACAAATTTAATTGCCACTATAAAGAACAACTACATTTTGATATGAAATTCACAAATATCTAGATAACTTTGGCATCTTTAATGCTTTACACCCATCTAGAGCAAGTCCTGAAGACATAATTTGACTAGTAGGCTATTTATTCAATAAGAATTAAAATTATATATATAAATAGTTTATTTTACATAGTAACACCTAAAAGATATATTCATTTGCATAGATATCTGCAAGTTATATTTTATAGTAAATATTTAGTTAGCCATTTAAATTGTAATTACGTACATAGAATTTGAGCTGTAACTTGCCATTAATCAAGAGCCATAATTTATCTTGCATTTGATACCTGAAATAAAACAAACAACACAATTATAAATGAAACAATAATTTTAATAAGTTCAGTTTAATAAATTATTAAAATCAAACAATAATTCTTTACTCCAATGACATTATTTTTAATTTTAAAAAATTTCTTCAAAACAAATCATAAGATTCCAAAAATACTCCAATCAATAAACAGTATTATTAGACTTCCTAAATATATTTGTGAAGTTTTGACATTTAACTATATTATAATTACCTGATTATAGAATTAGCAATCTTTTGAACTGTATTAATAGTAATTAAAAAACTTTTTTCCAGAATCAAAATATGTAAGGAATGTATTAAAGTATTCTAGTAACATTACTTTTTATGACTTATTAGAAATTCAACAGATAGAATAACAATCAAAAAAACTATTCTTGAACATTTCAAATGAATTTGTACTTCTAAAGATACTTTACTACATTCCAAAGGTCAGTAATGAACTCAACTGACATTAAACACATTCACTGCAATTGAAAGCTTGAGTATATTGAACTGTGTGTTAGATGTTATTCAACCTACAAGAATTTGACTTTGTTATTACTTTGTGTATAGAGTGAATGTCAACAAAATTGCAAATTAAAATTAAAAAATAACTTTTATATAATTCAAATGGTGGTGATAAACTATATTTATTAAAATAAAATGTAATTTATGTTTACTCAATTTTAAAATACATTTGTATAATTATAATAGTAAATGATAGGTTACTATATTTCATATACATATTAAAATATCGTCATTGTCAAATTCAATCAAAAATGGTTTTACGATATTAAATTATTTGCTGGAATATTTAAAAAGGTGATAATTTGTTTAATTGTCAAATTCACTAACAATATTGTTACAGTCTCTGAAAAAGTATAATGACAGAAAAAACTATCATTATATTACATCTTAAATATATTGCATATTATACAATTCTCTCTGTAAATACATGAATGCATATGTATTTAAGCAGGTTTTACATCATAAGAATTAATCAATGATAAATTGTTGAGCTTTGAAATTTTTTTTAAAACAGTATTTGCAAAATTAATAAATTATATATCTAGTGGGCCAATCATCTAATTACATATCTAATTTCATTGTTTTACTAACTACAAAAAGAATTAATTATTGTATGAGATTGTTTGGATTAGAGGGATTATAAATATATATAAAGAAAAGAAAGTTAAAACAATACAGACAAGTTTGATATGCTGTTAAAAGTTAATCTAAAACTTGTTTTTGGCTAAAGCTTTCAGTGGAAAAATGAACAAAGTAATGGTTAACTGTTTGGCTTCAGATTAATCCTGAACAATATAGATTAGGATTAAGACTGCACTGTATTTTAATCATCACAAACATAACATCTTACAAAAAAACTAAAGAATAAAGGCACAAAACAATGCACAGTACAAAAACATTTGTACTGTGCATATAATTAATTTAATGTCCAAAATGCCAAAAAGAAATCATGTGTTTACTAATCAATTAAAAAGGATTATCTGTTTTTGAAAAAGTTTGTGATTGTATTGACAAAGCAAAATGTGAACAGTGTTTTTCAGAATTTTCAGTAACTTGTGGTGGGCATTCGGACATTAAAATCACTTGAAATGTGTGAAACATAAGGCAAGCCTAGTAGCAGCAGAAGAAACTTCCTCAAATATATTGGCATATTTTAAAGGTACTGATTTAAATTGCATTAAATTTTGATGCCATTAAAAATAACATAGAATTTTTAAATAAAGTTTACACTAGTGATAAATATTAATAACTTCTTAATAATAAGGTATGTTCAGTTGAGTTGTTATTAAAAAAATTGTTTTTAACTCATTGGTTTTTGTTAACAACTTCTTTGTTTAGCCTTTTCAGTCATAGGAACTTATCATAGTAGGTTATTTTATGTTGTGAGTATTTTCTCATAATTGCCCCAGTTTGAAAANAAATTTTTAAATAAATATTAATAGCTTCTTAAAAATAAGGTACGTTCAGTCAAGTTATTAAAAATTGCTTTTAACTCGTTTTTTTATAA